TGTTGAGAAGGTGGAGACAGTCTCAAGAGCAAGCCCCGGTTCAACCACCAGACACTACCTTAATGAATAGGGTGGACAGGATTGAAGAAGGCTCCCAGCATCAGCCTTAGGCCTGTGTGTCACAGACACACGAGTGCACCACATACGCACGAGAAACAAACAAACACGAGAGATGCTACACAGGACACTGTTTCTGAGCCCTCACTCAACCTCACTCAACCTGTGGTGAAGTGTCTTCCCACTCTCCAACTCCCACCCCCACCAGAGACTGTGCATTCCAGAGAGGCGAGGGGATTGGGTTAGATTTTGTTTTGAGAATTCTTTTTCTTCCTTGTTAATGATGAGCAGTGTCACTGAGCCGCCACAGGTGAGCGTTGGCTTCATAGTACGCGTCATGGAAGATGGGTGGTAGAGTCCTCACTTCTTTCCCCTCCTGTCCTTAATTTCCCGGTCTGCTGTAGAGGGGAAGCTGGCAAGTGTTTGTGAAATTGTATATTCACATAATTATGAAAGATCCTGCTAAAACCCTGATAGGATCAAAGCGGTGCCCTCGTCTATAGATGGGACATGAGTCAGTCTTTTATTCAGGTTTCAGCTATAATTACCTTTCTATTTTGGAAGGAATAAGTTGTCCGTTATCACTGCACTGAGATTATCCTTTTTTCCCTTCGCTAAGAGGTGACCTGTTTTGTCTCTGGTAGTTGCAGTCAGTTACGGCTGGACCTGCTGCTGGGGCCGTGCCCTCGCTCATGGAGTCTGAAACTCGAAACCCAGCCTCTGGGCCCCAGTTGTCCTCTCCTCTCCTCCACTTTAATTTGATAAGTTCCAATAAGGTTAACGAGTGAAAACTGCATCCATAGATAAAGCCTTGGTAATATTATGGGTAGTATTCTCGGGTTGCCCTCCAGCCTCTTTAATTTGCAGCCAAATTTAATTTCCAGGTAACTGCAAAGTCATGTAAGAGGAGCTCTGGGAAGGACTAATTACTAGTGCGACAGGTGGGCCCCATGGCTCCAGAGATGGGTAGTAGAGATTTAGACCCAGTCAGAGGAGGGTGAGACACTAATCCTGGTGTCCTGACGACGTCTTTGAAGCCTGCTGGAAGCTTGCAGATTTGCTTCACACTGCTGCTTCCACCGTGACAAAAACTCAGCAGCTTGCCTAACAAACCTGGAGCTTTCTGTTAGGCAAGGCAGAGCCCTGGAGGTGTCAGGGAAGAGGCCTAGTCACCCAGGGCCCCATTCAGAAAAGCCTGCCTGCCTGCCTCCTATGGTATTTGAATGCTTTTCAGGTGCCCCCTTTAATCTTAATTGCCAGAAATCTCAAATGTATCTTACAAAAGCTCTTGGCTGAAAGAACATTTATGGAGAAAGAAATGAAAAATGCTTGTCTGATTTTTCATTTATTCATCTGCAGTATCCTGCATGGCTGCAGCTTGCCTGGGCAGTTTTAGCACACAATGTACTTAAGGTGTCTCTCTGTGTGCTAGAAATATTAAGAGGGAAAAATAAATGCCCCTAAATTGAACTTTCAACTGTACACATAGAAGAGGAAATAATTTACCAACAGGCAGCCCTGGGCTGCAAATCACTTTCTCAGCAGGAAAGAAAATTAAATCTGGCATTTTAAAAACTTTTTTTTTTTTTAAAAAAAATCTTAGGGTGGATTGGGAACAAGTAGGGAATAAACACTTGGGAGGAAAAATATTGAATTTGCACAGTGTGAAATGAAAGATTGAAAGCCTCTTTATATCTACATGCTGGCTAGCTCAGTAATCCTCGCCACGCAGTGGCCGTGGGAAATCTGGTGGCATCAGGGCTCTCAGCTGATGGAGCCAGTGCCACTTCCTCCAGCTCCAGACCCTCTGGAGCCATGCTCCCTCTCCCGGGCCAAGGCTGAGGTCCCTGAGCGGATTGTCGTAGGGTGTGGACTTTAAGTCAAGTGGGACGTTTCCTAGGCCTGGCTGCCCATGGCTGCCTCTCTCCTCTGCAGGCATCCTTCTTTGTGGTGTATAACATGGTGACAACGGAGGTGATCGCAGTGTTTGAGAATACGTCAGATGAGCTTCTGGAGCTCTTCGAGAACTTCTGTGACCTCTTCCGCAATGCTACCCTGCACAGTGAAGTCCAGTTTCCTTGTTCAGCTTCTAGCAACAATTTTGCCCGGCAGATCCAGCGCCGGTAAGCTATTCTGCCAGGCCTCCCAGGCTTAACTTGAAATGGTTGGGGTTAGGCTGGTAGCCATTTGTTTCAGGAACTATGTATTCTGTTTGTCTGCCTGGCCTTGGTAGGTCTGCCTAATGGAACTAACTCTCGTGTCATCCTCAAGTTTTCCCCGTCTCTGAGGACCTATGTAATAATGTATGCATCGTCTGGGTCCTTCTTAGACCATATGTGAGCTGCAGAAATATAGAAACTACATCTGTCTATTGCCATATTCTTAGTGGTGCACTGCCAAGCCCTTGCATATTTATGGAATGAGTGGTGGAGATGATTTTAGAACTTGTGGTTAAATATGGCATGCTGAACACACCCATTTATCCCTGTTCCATAGTAAATCCCACTAGAAGTAAAGTGAAGGGATAGGGGGTGGACCATAAGAACAGAAGACAAACCGGAGCGGTTGATACAGTTTTGGAAGTAGAAAGTCTGAGTCCTCCTTGCCTGTGCCTTCTCTAGTGCACTTACCTTCTGCCTTAGAAGCATGCTTTTTTTCTTTTCAGTCTCACTGTGTAGCCTAGGCTGGTCGTGTACATGGTGATTCACTTCCGCAGCTTTCCCAGTGCTGGGATTACAGGTGTGGAATACACTCCACTCCCTTTTCGGTGGCAGTGCTGGGAACTGAACCTGGGAATCTTCTTTCAAAATTAACTTTTAAGTTAATCATATCATTAACAAGTTATAGAAGGTAGGTGTTCTTGTTTCTTCCTGTTGCTTTGATAAACACCATGACCAGAAGCACCCTGGGGAGGATGGGTTTATTTCAGCTTACACTTTTAGGTCACACTCTATCACTGAGGAAAATCAGGGCAGAGATTCAAGGCAGGAACCTGGAGGCAGGAACTGATGCAGAACCACAGAGGAATGCCACTTACACTCTTTATACAAATCATGCCTACCCCCAAGAAAAATCACCCACCTTGCCAGCATTCTGCTCATTCAAGTACTTAGTGTAGTTAGTGAGAAAAGGCCCACGTGGAGGCATGCTATGAAGTTTTGAAACACTGGAGACAACGGTAAATCATAAAAACTTTGAGTGAGAACACACATTTCACACGCAGAAATGGTGTCAGAATGGCATCAGACGTGCCAGTGTCAGTGCTAAGGGCTTACACACGTGACAATCGTGCCTCCAAAATCTTGTGAAAGGAGTGACTTCAAGGGCTTGGGATTGTAGTTCAGTGAAAGAGTACTTCCTGCTACTCACAAAGTTCTGGGTTCAATCCTGCTCCCACCCCTGGTACCACCAAAAATGACTGTCTTCTTTTTCTTTTCTTTGTTTTTTTTTTTTTTGAGACAAGAACAGTCCAGGCTGGCCTTGAACTTGGGTTCCTGAGTGCTGGGATTACATATGTTTGCCACTGTGCCTGGTGAAAAGGATTTCTCATTTAAAATCCTACATTCAAATAGAGTAGAACAAAGATATTTTCAGAGCTGTGGGACTCAAAAATGAAATCATTTTTATGTGTCTTTCTGAGGAAGCCTTTGGAAAACACATGTCATCAGTAAGCCCCAAAGAGATGGTTTGTAGGCAACAGAGTCAGAGTTCTGAGGGTGCTAAAAGGGAAGCTGCAGGGTCACAGTTCACAGGTCAGACCGGAGGGGCACAAGAGAGTGAAGGATCCAGGAAGGAAGGGTTTCAGGGAAAGGCAGCTGGGGCATTATCTGGTGGGTCTGAGTGTATCTTCACTGTTCTGTAGATCATCAATGGTATGTGAGCAGAGGTGTTGAAGGAGACCAGGAGCAACCTGTGATTAATCAGGAATCAGATAACATCCAGCAGAGGCAATAGCAAGGCCAAGGGCTGCGGTATTTCTGAAGCCTTTGGAAGACACCAAGGAGGGCAGATGGCTGGATTGGAGTGAGCAAAGTATTTGGTGATGGTACCAGAGACACAGCTTCAGATGTGATCAGAGTAGTGGCAAATGGTGTTGATTTCTCTCTCTTTCTCCCTCTCTGCCTCTGCCCACTGAGATTTGACTCTAGGGGCCTCTGGTATGCTAGGCAATGCTGTGTCACCGAGCTATATCTCAGCCATCTTTCTACATTGCTTATTTTAAGCAGTCTCACCAAGTTGCCCAGACTGGTCTTGAACTTTCATTCCTGCCTCAGTGTCCCAAATAGCTGGGATTACATAACTCTGTCACTAACCAGATGGTTTTCCTTATTTTAAACTGAGAAGTAAAAAGGACAAGTTTGTGTGTTGATGGGACTGATCCTGTAGAGAAAGAACCTGCCTAGTATGTGAGAGGAAATGAGATCTACTGGCCCAAAAGAGAGATTGGTGTGCCATGCAAGGACAAAGGTCCTCTTCTGCTTCCCTGTGTTCATCAGTAACAAACCAGGGGGAGATGAGGTAGCTGTGGAGAGAGTAGGAGATGGCTGGACTGTGGAAGTGCAGAGGAGTATCCCTCCAATTGAAGGCCTGTGCAGGGTTCATGGCCAGAGGTTGAAGTGAGCATTTCTGTTTGCTTTTCTACAGCCATGGGGAACTGAGCAGCACGAGCATAGAGTCAGAAGAGCTGAACTTCACTAGAGCCCTACTTGAAAGCATAGTTCAAGAGTTAGAGCATGCGGTGGAGCTGTTTCATGATTAACTGTGGATTGTAAGATGCCTAAGAAAAGAGAGATGACGTAATGGGTGTGTGAGATGGGAGGACATGGTGGTGGAGTCAGTGGGTGTTGGAGGGTTGTTGAAGTTGGGATGTGTAGAAGGCTGGAGCTGGGGAGACAGGGGATGGCTGGAACATGGGATGGTCACCTGGGGTTGCAGTGGCTGCATGGTGAGAGTGAGGCTGTAGGAATGTAGGGATGCAGCTGAGAAGGCAGGGGCTGGGAGGCCATGCTGTTCGAAGGATGGTTACTGAGAACTTTAAAGTCCCCTAGAATTAAGAGATGTTAGTTGGACAGAGTGACCCAGCCCAGAGCTAAGTGCTGCAGATAGCAGAGGGATGGCTTCTTCATATTTCAGGCAGTGGGGAGCTGGGAGAGCGGGGCTATGGTGTTCGTTGTCGAAGAATAGGAACTGCTTCAATGTACAGATCCCGAGGCCATCCTGGAGGCCATGGGGCTCACAGAGCCATGAGACAGCTCCCGTCATGCTACTGTCAGTGGTGACAGGACAGAGACACAGCTCCATGGTGCCACCTTCAGTAGCCTGAGGAGTTCCCTATCCTTTTGGGGACCTTCACCGGAGTAAAACCAGATCCATGGCATGGCAGCAGAAAAGAATCTCAAGATGAGCCAGGGTGTGGCAGAATTGGAAGTTATTAGAAGACATTTTGAACAGATTGAAGGACAGGGTGAAGAACAAGGTTCATAGAGAGGCGCTCAGGAAAGGGTGAGACACACCCACGCGGTACGTATGGTGCTCTCACGTGGGAGTTGTGGTAAAATGTCTTTACAGTAGCATGTGTACTCGGTTTGGTGGCTTCTTGGTTATATCTAAAAGGGTTGCTAAGGAACTTTTTCTTGCCTGGTGAATGAGGTTTAGGATGGTTTCAGAGATACATTGACTAGGAGTACAGCTGATGAAGGCCCTGGTTCACAAGCTGCAGAGGAAGTTAAGATTCAATTTTTTAAAAAACGTTTCTGTAACATGAATCTTAAAGGGTCTTATTAACAAAAAACACAGGAGCCAGATATTGGGGTGAACACTGAAAGATCAGAGACAGAACAAGCCACAGCTACCTCACCTCAGTTCCTCAGCTGATCCTGTTTCCTCAAACTGGAAGCCTCTGTCTGAGTCCTCATCCAGAATGAATCTCAGCTGAACTGCTGCTAAAAGCCTAAAAGTTTAACAAGCCTAGTTCCTGGTCCTCACGCCTTATATACCTTTCTGCTTCCTGCCATCACTTCCTGAGATTAAAGGTGTGTGTCACCATGCCTGGCAGTTTCCAGTGTGGCTTTGAACTCAGAGAGGTCTGGGTGGATCTCTGCCTCCCAAGTGATAGGATTAAAGGTGTGTGTACCACCATTTTCTGGCCTCTATGTCTGTCTAGCGGCTGTTCTGTTCTCTGACCCCAGAGAAGTTATTAAGGTTTATTAGGGTGCACAATATATTGGAGGACACAATATCACTGCACGTTACTGTATGTGTATAGTATGAGTGCATGTGCCATGGCACACATAGGCTGTCAGAGGATGGTTTTGGGGAGTCGGTTATCTCCTTCCACTGTGGGGTCTGGTGACTGAACTCAGGTCAGGTCTTCTTCAGGCTTGTGTGGCACTTTTCACCTGCTGAGCTGTCTCTGGATTTTAAACATGTGCACGTGAGTTTTAAACTGAGGCAGCTGCTGAGAAAGCCTTCCTTACTGGTGCTTTGTTCTAGGTTCAAAGATACGATTATAAATGCCAAGTATGGAGGGCACACGGAGGCTGTGCGCCGGCTGCTAGGCCAGCTCCCCATCAGTGCCCAGTCTTACAGTGGGAGCCCCTACCTGGATTTGTCTCTCTTCAGCTACGATGACAAGTGGGTGTCGGTCATGGAGCGACCCAAGACTTGTGGAGATCACCCGATCAGGTATTTTGTCACCCCCACAGCTCCATACTGCTTGAGGCGAAGGGCACTGCGCTTCCTTTCTTCCTCGTCTGTGACATTGGTCAGTGACTCTTCTTGTGCTGAAAGGAAAGGCCAGGCCATTTCTACTGAGTGGTGAGGGCTTGGATCACTTAGGTATTATTCTCAGAAGTTAGCTACTGCTGCTCTTGGCTTCCCATGAAAACGTTTTATTCGGGTAAATGCTGTCTGCTATTAAAAGTATCCAAGGAAGCCGGGTGGTGATTGACGCATGCCTTTAATTCCAGCATTTGGGAGACAGAAACAGGGTGGATCTCTGAGTTTGAATCTAGCCTGGTCTACAGAGCAAGTTCCAGGACAGCCAGGGCTACACAGAGAAACCCTGTCTTGAAAACAAAATAAAACAAAAAAATAAAAGGATCCAAGGAAAGGAACTTTATTTCCCATTTTTAATAATCCAATGGCATTCCATAACAGATTTTGTATTCACTATATTTTACTGAAATTATTTTATCAATGTTACTAAGTAGAAAAAGCAAAGATAATTTTTTACTTTTGGAATCTTTTTGTTTGTTTAAGATTATTTTATGTGTATGAGTGTTTTGCCTACATGTGTATGTACACCATGTGTGTGTCTGGTGCCCACAGAGGTCAGAAGAGGGTGTCAGATCCCCTGACCTGGAGTTATGGTTGGCTGTGAGCCACCATCCTGGGAGTTACAGGTGGTTGATTGTATGAGACGCTGTGGATGCTGGGAATTGAACCCAGGCTCTCTGCTAGAGCAGCCAGTGCTCTTAACCACTGAGTTATCTGTCTTCCCAGCTTCTGCTGCTGGGACCTTAAACTTAGCCCCTTGTAGGCCTCCTCCTCTCTCCTAAAGCCACACCTGTTCCTCTACATCTGCTGGGATGGATGCTGTGAGGTGGACCGGGCTCTGTCTCCAGTGCGCTTGACTGGCCGGGAGGGCTCGGAGCCCTAAGCTGTAGCTTGGAAGGTCTTTTCACACAGAGACAGTAGCATGCAGAATTTATAGTTTTGTTCATTTCTTTCCTCCCTCTTTCTCCCTGCCTTGCTCCCTCTCTTCCTCCTTTCCTTTTTCTCTAGGCTGGCTTTGAACTTAATGTACAGCCAAAGATGACCTTGAACTCCTCACCCCCCCCCTTGTTTTATAGGTAATGCCTTATCACACCTACCTGTAGTAAGTCTGTTTGTCATCAGCATCATTATGTATATGTGTTAAATGGATCTTTGTAACATATTCTGTAGAGTTAATCACTGTTCATAGTATTTCCCTTGGGAAATTGCAGTCAAGTTCCTAAAATTAATTTTTTTTTTATTTTATCATGGCAAATTTTATATCTGTGATGGCCCTCTGTACCTCCTAGCTTCAGAGGTGTCAGCTCCTGGCCAGCTGCTTCCTCGCCCCACCTCCCTGCCGCTCTGGACTACTTTTCAGTAAACCGCTGTTTCCCTTGAATTTTACCCACAAACATTTCAGTGTGGATTTCTAAAAGTTAACAAGCTTTAACAAACATCAAAAGCCTTGATACCACCCTGTCTAAACCAAATTCACAATTTTTGAATGGGGCTGGAAATGTAGCTCAGTAGGTAGACCGCTTACTTGGCCTGCACAGAACCCAGGTTCAGTCCCCAGTCCCACATAACCCTGGAGTGGTGATGCTGCACACCTGGTGGTGCACGTGGGCGATGGAGGTGGGGGGGGTGTTGGGGGGTGGTCAGGAGTTCAAGATCATCTTCAGCTACACAGCAGGTTTGAGGCCAGCCTGGGCTACACGAGACCCTGCCTCAGAACAAACAGTCCTTTGTTAATGTCCCCAAGCATCTGATTAGTTCCCCTGTATTGCCTGTGAGTACTCTGCACAGTTCCTTTGTTTGACTCATGTTCATATGCATGTGGCTCTACCCTTCAGATCGCAGTCTGTAGGTTTACTTCTCTCTTTTTCTTGCAATGACATCATTGTTCGTCCCCAACTTGTTCATCCTGTAGTCTTCCTCACATCTGGGCTCTGTTCATCGCATGCTGGGAGTAGAAATATTTACTACATTTCTCATTCCCCCTGCTTGCCTACAAATGGGTGGTTGGATTTAGAAGCCCCAACAACTCACTTTAAATTATAAACCCTGTATGTGTTGGCAACTATGTGGGTAGGTTAGTGTGCTTTTTATGCATAAAAGCACATAATGGGCCTCGTTTGATATAGTCAAGTAGATACATTTCTGTCCTTGCTGATTTCCCTGCTTTTTCAGTTTGAAAAGATGAGCCCAAGGAACACCCTGCAATGCCATTGCCGGGCTGAGGAGGCTTCTCTTGTAACTCCTTCATGTTTTTACTCCAGATGAGAACTGGAAGATATTACAGGCTTCTGAAGAGGCTGTCCTGTCAGTTCCTTTGCCGTCTCCTCCATTCTGGTCTTTGTCAATATATATATGTGTGTGTGTGTGTGTGTGTGTGTGTGTGTGTGTGTGTGTGTGTGTGTGTGTGTGTGTGTTCATGTTTGCATTTGCAGCTTTAATCACAACAGGCATCATGGGTGTCGACTGCTTTAACTTTAGGGATGTTTGTCCGTTGTGTTACATGGTCCTCACACTGATTCACTGTTCTATCAAGTAGACATGTCATCATTTATCCAGCCTTCTGACCATCTTTTTTATGCATTTTTATATTAGAGCAACTCTGATAATGCCATCGTTAATCATTTAAATTAAATTCTGAGGATATGAATTCTTGATGATGGGATTATTTTATCAAAAAGTCTGACTATCCTTGAGCTCAGGGGTGGCACATTTCCCATGTATTTGCAAGGCACTGGATTTGAGCCTCAGCTCTGCAAAATAATAATAAAATAATAGTTATAATAAAAGTATGAGTATCCAAAAAAGAAAATCAGAGCTCTCCATTTGGTTCAGAACTCTCCATTTTCTGGAATTCTCCAGCCTGTTCATCATCTCTAGTTTCCCAAACCACAAGTTATTCAGAAACATCTTTTGTCGAATTGTGTTAGGTGGAAAATCCTAACCCAAATCACTCGCCATTTTGTTTGTAAGCAAGTGCCCTACTGCTGAGCTGCATCCCTAGCATGTGATTTTATTTCTCTGTGTGAAAAATGACAGCCTTCAGAGAGAATTTATTTTATTTTTTATCATTTATTGAGGTGCTCTCATGTAGCCCAGGCAAGCCTCAAACTTGCTATATAGCCAAAGCTGGCCTTGAACTTCTGATCCTCCTACCTCTGCCTTCCAGAGTGCTGGGATTACAGATATGTGCCACTATACCTGGTGCAAGAATTTGTTCTTAAATCTGAAAATCTTAAAGATTAGCCCAGAATGGCACTGTTCTATGCAGGAGCCGCTAGCCACTTACAGCTCTTGCGCACCTAATGTGAGCCGCGGCCAAGCGGAGATGTGTGCAGGTGTCAAGTACGTTTCAGATTTCAAAGATGTAGTGAAAGGAAGAGTGTATGGTATCCCAGGGTTTGTTTGTTTGTTTTGCATGACTGTGGGTTGTAATGGTAATATTTTGGATATATTGGATTACATTAAATATATTACAAAATAAATTCCACTTTTTTGTTTTACTTTTTAAAAATATGGCTATTCAAAGATTTAAAGTTACACATGAAGCTTAGATTTGCTGTTTGCATTTCATTTTTAACGCCAGCTTAAACAGTCCTCAGGCAGGAGCTTCTGGAAGCAGGGAGGTTCTGATTTAGTCTAGTTCAGGGTCGTGGTGAGAGGAGGTGATCACAGACTCAGGACAGGAGTTAACTTTACAGTCACTCTGCCTCTCAGCCGAGCTGATCAGATAAGGTGGCTTCGTGCTTCTGCTATCTGATGAACTACTGAGGGTCTGCCTCCCCTGCTGTCCGGATTTCAAGATGGCAGTGATACAGCACCGTGTCTTTTCTCTGCTTAGGTTCTACGCCCGGGACTCTGGCTTGCTAAAGTTTGAGATCCAGGCAGGCTTGCTGGGCCGCCCCATCAACCACACGGTGCGTCGCCTCGTCGCCTTCACCTTCCACCCCTTTGAGCCGTTCGCCATTTCGGTGCAGAGGACTAATGCAGAGTACGTTGTCAACTTCCATGTGCGGCACCGCTGCACCTCGGCGCCTCACCACAGCCGCGCTGGCCAGGACTTCACCCCTGCTTGACTCCATGGACTCCAGAGCAGAAGCCTCTGGTTGCCAGCTTTGGGGATTCCAGACTGGAACCTCCCCCCACCTAAGACAGGGCCTTAGAGGGGTGGGATTGGTGTTCCTGTTACCCAGCTGATCGTTTTGTAAAGTTTTCTGGCTTTTCCCTGTGGGAACACCTAGCATTAAGTCCATTTTGTTTTGTTTACTTAGCATTTTATGGCTGTGAAAATAGAAGCATTACACCTTTCCTCCTGGCTGCGCCTCTTTGGCATTCAGGTCTGAAGCATGCAGCAGGTAAATCATGTTTACTCCTGAGAATTATGTACTCCTTTCCATTTCTCCAACAAGCAGGGCTCTTTATAAGAGAGAATAAAGCCTTGGTATTTTCTTACGAAACTCTCTCTCTCACTTGATGTTCCCTTACACCGATCCTTTTTGGATGCTTAGGTTGAAAGAAGGACCGTGAGAGAAACGAAAGGCCCTGAACGCAGCGGCTGCTCCTGGGCGTGCTAAGTGGCCAGTGCCCGCATGAGAGGCAGTCATTTGCCGGCACTGTTTCCTCCCCAGGGGTTTTCTGCTGGTAATGGTTAGCACCGGAGAAGCGGGGGTAATCACACATCCTCATGTGGAAGCATGCTCACATCTGCTGCCCGTGTCGTGCTGGCGAGAGAGCATGCGGCCCTGGGAGTCTTGGCAGAAACAAACCATGGGTAGCACGTACTGTCCTTGAGTGGCAGGAGCTGGAAAGCTCCAGGTGTCCCTAAACAGATCAAACCGGTTGTCCCCGGGTGGCTGAGCTCTCATAGCTCTCCGATCCACCCCTGCTGGCCCTAGACTGCACCCTTCTGTCACATTGTCAGCCAGTCTCCTCCAGAGAGCTTGTCAGCCTGTTTACATTTCATTTGCATAATGTGTTCCCCCCAGTAATGATGTAGTCCGCTTGTTTAGAAACATCTGTCTCAGAAGGTACCTTTCAAATGTTTTGTACCAAAACAGTCTGTGGAAGGAGCCATGGATGCAAGCAGCTGGGTCCTATATTCCTTCTGCCAGCCAGACTTCTAGGGAGCCTAAGAATGGTGATAGGAGATCCTGAGCCGCACCCAAGCCAGTTCTATTAATGTCATCGTCTTCAGTATTGAATAACTAAATTTATTCGCTGCCTGCAAGCTTTGAGCACCTACTGTGAATCAGGGTGATTAGTGTACTAAGAGTGAGGAGAGTTGGAAAGATGTGGCTGTTCATTCAACAGAGAAAAATCATTTACAGAGTTTCCCTGAGGACAATGGAGGGAGGTGAAGGAGACGCAAGGAATCCTGGGGAAGAGCTACTGGATTACTGAGTGTGTTCTGTGATCCAGAATGGTGCCACCCACCTTTAAGATGGGTTTTCCCTGCTTCCATTAACCTTATCTTGAAATTCTGTCACAGACATGCCCACAGCTTTGTCTCCCAAGTTATTCTAGTTCCTGTCAAGTTGAAAGGATTAGCTACCACACCCCTCCCTTTATTACTTTTCTTGTCACTATGACCAAATAACCCGACTGAGACAACTTAGGGCAACAAGGGTTGGTTTTACTTAGTTCGCAGTTATGGGGTGAAGAAGCCATGGCGATGTTCATGGGGCTGGAGGAGAGTCTTAATTTATTCTCATCTTGGCTGCAAACGCAGAACGAAACACCTTAGGTAGGAAATGGCCTGCTATAACCCATCTCCATGGCCCAACATCTGCCAGTGAAGTCTTAGATGCAGAAGGTTCCACGACCTCCGAAACTGGCATCACCAATCTGGGGAAAAACACTCAAACGTAGACGCCTGTGAGGGACATTGTGTACTCAAACTGTTCACATCCCCGCCTCTGATCAGGCAGGTGTTTCGTCAGTGAGCGGTTCCTTCACACAGCTCTTCCAGGACCCAGAAGTCTTGCCTCTGGTCTCCCTGCTGTCCCCTGTGGCATCATCCTGCATTGAGTTAGGGCAAGGGTGAAGAGTGTGGAGACGGCTCTTCTTGGTCATAGGTCCCTGTCCGTGAGTGGTAGACATCCCTTGCACAGACATCCCGTTGTAGTGAACCTAGCCAAAGGTACACATATTAGCAAGAGTGAGGCCTGCCTGTCATGTGCCTGGCTAACCGTTTGCTGGTTTTTCTTGTATTCAAAAGGAAGGAGACTGAGTCATTGCTCGGGGGATATGAGCTTCCTCACTAGCTGTCACCTCCCCTCAGGGTCCTCTCTTTTCTAATTCAGCCCAGGTGACTTGTTGTAATATAGACACTGTCTTGCCAGGGCCCTTGCCTTTTTTGTTTGTTTGTTTGTTTGTTTGTTTGTTTGTTTTCTGTTCTTCCTTCATGCTGTATTAGAACCTCAACTCTGTCTACTTTGAGTGGCTGAAAACTATGTTGCTCTTGAGTTCACGATCACTCTCAGCATTGAAAGTGGGCTCTCAGCATTGCAGAGTCAGCCTTCTAGATTCTCCTTGTCTCATTTCCCACTTCTGGAGGCTGCTAGTTTTCACCTTTGCCTGCCTCTGTCTGTCTTCAGAATTCCTTCTATATTTCTCAGCTGGCCACCTTGCTCCTCATGTCAAGACAGAAACCATCAGGTGGGGATTTCTCCCGGTTTCCTTTACCATGTCAATCAGAAGACATGTCTGTACTTGTTCCTTGCAGGAACTTGATGTAGTAGCATCCACAGTTCAGAGCAGAGAGAACAAATGTATGCATGTTTATTGTTAAACTCTTTTTTTCTATTCTTAATCGGTCCAGGGCCAAGGGATGGTACCACCCACGGAGGGCAGGTTCTCCTGCATCAGTTAACGCAATTACTGTAATTCCCCTTCATACAGGCCAACCTGATCCAGACAGTCCTTCACTGAGACTCTCTTCCCAGGTGATTCTAGACTGTTCCAGGGTGACAATTAGAGCTGACCCCTCATCTGTGGTATGATGATAAGAAGAATTAACTGTAGCCGGGTGGTGGTGGCATACACCTTTAATCCCAGCACTCAGGAGGCAGAGGCAGGCGGATCTCTGTGAGTTCGAGGTCAGCCTGGTCTCCAAAGCAAGTTCCAGGAAAGGCGCAAAGCTACACAGAGAAACCCTGTCTCGAAAAACCAAAAAACAAACAAAACAAAACAAAAAAAAAACCCCAAAAACCCACACACAATGGCACAATCCCTTCACTGGGAACTTGCCCACTGCTTTCATGCAGTGCAGTTCAATAAATTCTCTCTTGTCTTTTTGCATCTTGGTAAATTCGTCTGCTCCCCACATCACAGCACTGCCTTCTGTACACCATCTGAGGACACCTAGTGCATCAGTAGAGAAACACTTGGTTCTGGTTTCTAGGACAGCATGTTTCTAGTTCTCCTGCCTTCATGATTGCTTTCTTGTCCCTTTCCTGGCTCCTCTGAGCTCTGCCTTTAGATGTTGGGACGCTCTAGCACTGGACCTTGGATTCTTACTTCTTTTTTCCCTCTTTCTTTAGTAGATTTCTTTTTCTTCCTATGGTTTTAAGTTCTTGTGATAGGCCGATGGCCCTCAAAGTTATAACTCTACTTGAGCTCCTAATTCATATAGCCCATGACTTACATAACATCTTCATTTGGATATTAGTAGGCTTTTCAAAACTAGACCATCCCTAACACCATTCTTGTCCTACCTCCAATCTATTTTTCATTCCAAGATTCCCCATATGGAACCAGCTGTAATGGCACATGCTTGTAATCCAGCACTTGGGAGGCAGAGGCAGGAAGATCAGGAGTTCAAGGCCAACCTCAGCTCGTAGTGAGTTTGTGGACAGCCTGGGTTAAATGAGACCCTGTTTCAAAAAACTTAAACAACCAAACAAACAAAATGATTTCCCATATGGCTTCAAAATCTATACCCATTGACTGGAGCTCGAATAACAGGACATGCCTCTCTAATCTGCTTCCTACCCCCATACCTGACTTCATTCTAGGGGATTGCCATGTGCAGTCTAAACCAGTTTTGGCAGCCCCTTTTTTCATTGCTACTGACGAGAACAGGAGTCTAAACCAAAACCTGCTAGCCTAAGGGGTTACTTTAAAGACAGCGTGCGACTTAATTCAGGTCAATGGCATGCTGAGGTACAGGCTTCTGAGTAACATTTCCCTATTGATAGTGGCAGTGAGAGACCGTGTAAGCCTCCTTTCCCATGGTCCAAGGCTCTACATCCAAATTCAAAAGAATCAGCCTTAGGATAACATTGACCTGGTGTAAAACAGAGCAGGAACCAGCCCTGCTTATTGATGACATGGCTAGTTGGCCTCAAAAGCAAATACATCTGCATTTCTAGTTCTGTGAGACAATGTCCTTATTGCTTAAAGCTCTTTGAATTAGGTGGTCTGTTTCTTGCAATTGAGAGCAAATGTATGGATGTAAAGAGAAAGGTCCTTGTGGGAAGGTTCAGCTGTCATCCCTTCTTTCTTTTTTCCTTCCCTTTTCTTTCTTTTTCTTCCTTTTTTTTGAGACAGGCCAGGGTCTTGCTATGTTCCTCAGGCTGGCCTTGATCCCGAGTCCAGCAGATCTTCTTGCCTTGACCTCGGGAGTAGCTAACAGTTCCAGAGTTTATCAGAGTGTACAGTTCCACATGCCTGTGGTAGATTCATGGGATTTGAGGAGGCTGGAGCTTAATGGATCCGGTGATGGTCTCCATGAAGTCAGCTGCCAGGGTTCCTGCTCTCGGGGCTCCGTGACAGTTTCTGGTGTTCCCGTGGCTTCCCTGCAGCCATCCTTGGGTTTCTCTGTGTGTTTCTGATAACTAAGAGGATTTAACTAAAACTGGAGATAAAGCACTCCGCCTGTTGAGTACCTGCCGATATTAAGTTCTCAATCTGTGTGCATTGTTTATATTGGCTTTGCTCCTAAAGGATTTAAGGTGGCACTTGGTAAATTCTAGTAAATGTCCAAGGAGTCTCAAGACTCTTTGGAGAAACAAATTCTTTGAAATTCATATGTTTGAGGAAAGAGGGAGTGGACCTCAGGGAATGTCTTTTAGATCTAAGTCTTCCCTGAGCTTCCTCCCCCCCTCTCCCCCGGCAGAGCTGGCAGGCTGGCCTCCGAGCTGCTGCTCTGGACCTTAGAGAATGCTACCATTTAATTTAGCACTGCCTGTTTCATTTGCAGCCCTTGCAGAGAGGCATAAGTGAGTGAAAAGCCTAAATTAGATAATTTTTAAAAGGACAGTAGCTTCATTATTTTCGAGTACACAGAGTAACTTAAACTCGGCAATGAAGTGTTCTGTTGTAGCAGCTCTTAGGGACATTTCTTAATGAGTAGATTATAATTATTGCTAATCAGCATAACAGTTCACCGAAACACGTGCTTTGAAAGCAATTGAGCATATTAGCTGACTTGGATGTTCCAAGGGGCAATT